CCTCATAGCGGCTTATCCTTAAGAGATCCACGCATGTAAAGGCCAGCACGTTATTGACAAAGATTTTCTCATGAGGGCTCGCCTAGTCTCCATCTTTTCAACATTGGCAATAGTAGCTAAATATGGGTTGCAAAAAGACCCTATAATAGCAACAAGTTGACAGTGGTGTCAAAAATATTTTCTAGCTTGAGGTGATACAGTGAAAGCATACAAATTTAGTGCCTGTACACTATAATACCGTAAAATCTCTTGAAATCTACTATCATCGAGATGAGCAATGCAGATGAAGACACAATGTCTTGGCTTGCTATTTCGAGTAAGTTTAGGAAGGCTGCTTATAACTTGGATGTTAGTTTTGGAATATCAAATGACTGAATTGTAGTAGGTATTAGGATTGCTATTCAATCACTCCTAGGATATAGTTGTTCAACAGGTAACAAGTCTTATTGTAGAAGTAATATGTGTATTTACTTCAATCTTTTTCAATACAGTAATCATTTCATAGTTGTCTCCTGTGGCTTAAGAAAAACTCTTATCATATTTTCTTACAGTCAGTCATCAGAAGTGTTTGTGAAACATGTCATGTCTTAGTCAGCTACCTTGTCAAAAATGCCAGATCACTAAGTTGACCTTCACAACTGTGAAAGTAAACAGTGTCATGAAGCTACCCATGAAGCTGCCCAGGATCATAATACAAAATACACACAACCTGCTCCTCAATCATTTTTTTTTTTTTTAAATAAATGATAGTTTACTGGTCTGGATATGCAAATCCTCCTGCACAAAAAAAAAGCAAATACCTAAAACCCAGTGAAGAGAGATAATCAATGTTGAAAAAGGAATGATAATTACCTTTTTCTACTGCCTCTGCAATATTACCCTTGTTGCTCAAGTTATTAGCCAGCTTTGGACAACAATTAAAAGCTTTCTTACCTGTGCATGTGAGTACCAATCTCTGGATAACCTGCCTCGCCCTGGTTGCACCCCTGTTCTCAGCTATCAGCATTGTTGCACAATTGTCCAGGCAGCTAAAAACAACTGGAAAATGACCAGATTCTCCATTAGGTATAAATATGCACAGGGAATTTTTTTTTCCATTGGTAATTCCCCCTGGTACTAGTACTACCATAAGTGATAGACTATGATTACCTAACTAATATTAACAAAAATAGTGGATAGAGTACTCAGAGAGATTCCAATATTAAGAAATGGCTTGCTAAATCAAGGCCTAGGCTCAAACCTGAGCATGTGGCTAAGAGATTAAGGTGGGCTACAATTCATACAGATTAAACAGTAGAGAATTTTGAAGCAGTGAATTGGAGTGATAAATGTAGTGTGGAGAAATCCAAGGA